TATTTAGTCTTGTTTCAGAACCTGACTTCTGCTTGCACATCTGTTTTACAGATCTGGCTTATTTGTTCTGCAGACTCTTGGTTCCTTGCCTCTCAGGCAGATGCACTCCGACTCCGAAGGAAGCACCCCTATTAGTTGACTTTTATGACATGCCTATTAGTAAACACTGGGTTTGTTAACCCCTTCCCTCCTCTCCCCCCAATTATGTTATTAAGAGTAATATACAAAGTCTAGCTTCAAAGCTTAAGTCATTTAAGTTAAAGTCAGAAGGATCGACCTCGTTGTACGATGTTATCCTTTATGATTTAATTGAATGACTAGCTTCATTTAAAAAAAAAAAATTACTGCACAAAGCACGAGCTCTGTAACTACAGTGACAGTCCCCGGGATCTCTGCAAAAATCTGCAATAATGAACTGGATACGAAGTCTGTGAAACAAACCTGTGACCTTCAGAGAGTGAAGCAAACAGATTGATCACTTCACCATGAAGACCCCTATTCTAGCTTCCTAACAAAGTAGTACACAGTCTTGTGTTATAAGAGTATTACATTTATGTCGTCTGTATCTCAATATAAAAGAAAGACACTTTCATTTCATTATGCCCAAAACACATGGTATATGTGGGGGTTTTTTTTAATAGCACATATATTCCATCCATATCGTTGGAAAAAAAATCTTTGCACATATTTGTAGCCTTTTACAAAATTAACATATTTCTGTTTTCTAAAATAGTAGCACTTAAATTTGAATGAAATTGGGACAAAATGCCTAGCTTTATAACAATTTTTAAAAAAAAAATATATATATATAGTTTCAGATATTCTCAGCAGTTTTTGTGTGTGCTGAAATGGATGTTGCAAATGGATTTTGCTTAGATATGTTATCATGTTGGTCGCATGTTTCTTTGCTTTCCACTGCGTGTTGCTTTTGTTGCTTTTGTTGTTGCCTTGTTTCAGCAATTTTCTATGGCAAAATATATTTATACTGTTTACAAGCTCTTCTAATTTGCATTTATGTAGAATATTAAAGTAGTGTTTATAATTGACATATTTGATATTAGAAAGTTTGTTAATAGTTTACTGAATGCTCTGAGAATCCACTAACTGCTGCAAGATAACACTCAGCCATATTATTTATAAAATGGTAGCTATCTAGAATATTTTCATTGAACTTGCCTGTTGCTTACCTTGTGAGTTTCAGATTTGCAAAACTAAAGCCACTGTGTACTTCCTCATCTTCTACTTCTAATGTGTTCACCATTTACAAAGTGGTTGTTGTTTACAGTTAGGCTGTAAAATGTGAACTTTGAGCCCAACACATCCATCCTATTTCAGTCGTAGCAGTAGTCGAGGTTTCAACTTCATAACAATTGAGACACTTCATAACAATCGAGACACTTCATACATGCTCCATTCCTGTGCCAGTGAAAATCATATGAAATATCCCTCAGAAATATTCCTCACTGTCCCTCCCGGCACAATCCAGAAATCTGCACATGTAATAAATGCAAAAGGAGCCAAATCCTTTTTCAGCAAACCTGTAAACAAATCTGCTTGTTCATTGTCTTTACATGGCAGTAACCGTCTCGTCTAGTGGCTTTCTGTATCTCTCCTTCCGTAGTGCCTGTATCTGTAAAGCTTCAGGTGGCAGTAAAGGGAGATCACTTGTGAATCTCTTATGTTCTCTCCTTCCGTAGTGCCTGTATCTGTAAAGCTTCAGGTGTCAGTAAAGGGAGATCACTTGTGAATCTCTTATGTTCTCTCCTTCCGTAGTGCCTGTATCTGTAAAGCTTCAGGTGTCAGTAAAGGGAGATCACTTGTGAATCTCTTATGTTCTCTCCTTCCGTAGTGCCTGTATCTGTAAAGCTTCAGGTGTCAGTAAAGGGAGATCACTTGTGAATCTCTTATGTTCTCTCCTTCCGTAGCACCTGTATCTGTAAAGCTTCAGGTGTCAGTAAAGGGAGATCACTTGTGAATCTCTTATGTTCTCTCCTTCTGTAGTGCCTGTATCTGTAAAGCTTCAGGTGGTAGTAAAGGGAGATCACTTGTGAATCTCTTATGTTCTCTCCTTCCGTAGTGCCTGTATCTGTAAAGCTTCAGGTGTCAGTAAAGGGAGATCACTTGTGAATCTCTTATGTTCTCTCCTTCTGTAGTGCCTGTATCTGTAAAGCTTACGGTGGTAGTAAAGGGAGATCATTTGTGAATCTCTTATGTTCTCTCCTTCCGTAGCACCTGTATCTGTAAAGCTTCAGGTGGCAGTAAAGGGAGATCACTTGTAACTTGTAAATCTCTTATGTGTTAACAGCGATGTTAAGAAGATCTCTATGTAAATGGAAATTAGGAGTTCCACACTCTATTGTGGAAAAGGGGGGAAGGGGGTAGACCCACTGCTTCCCAACAAGCATGTCATAAGAGTCGACTAATTAGGGTGGTTATCTTCAAAGTTAAAGTGCATCTGCCTGAGAGGCAAGGAACCAACAGTTTGCATGCAAATAAACCAGATCAGTAAAACTAATTTGTATGCAACACTCAAGTCCAGAAGTGAGCAAGTAACCAGAACTTTCCACCAGAGTTTATAGCTAGTGAATGCGAAGAAGAAGACGCAGAACAGTGCCTGTATCTGCAGACCTAAAGTATCACATGGACTACTCGCAAACCATTTATCACCTTTGGGCTGCTACCTGAAAAGTTTCACACCTTGAATAGGATCTCAGTCTGGATTGCAAACCAACAAGGCCTGGATGTTTGTTGCCATACGACTAAAGAGCTTTGATGCTGATGGCAAACAACAAGGTCTGAAGGTTTGTCACCATGAGACTAAAGAGCTTCGATGCTGATGGCAAACAACAAGGTCTGAAGGTTTGACACCATGAGACTAAAGAGCTTCGATGCTGATGGCAAACAACAAGGTCTGAAGGTTTGACACCATGAGACTAAAGAGCTTCAATGCTGATGGCAAACAACAAGGTCTGAAGGTTTGACACCATGAGACTAAAGAGCTTCGATGCTGATGGCAAACAACAACGTCTGAAGGTTTGACACCATGAGACTAAAGAGCTTCGGTGCTGATGGCAAACAACAAGGTCTGAAGGTTTGACACCATGAGACTAAATAGCTTCAATGCTGATGGCAAACAACAAGGTCTGAAGGTTTGACACCATGAGACTAAAGAGCTTTAATGCTGATGGCAATCAACAAGGTCTGAAGGTTTGACACCATGAGACTAAAGAGCTTCGGTGCTGATGGCAAACAACAAGCTCTGAAGTTTTGACACCATGAGACTAAAGAGCTTTGTTGATGATAACAGACCAACGGCTCTGAAGGTTTGACACCAAAAGACTAAAGAGCTTCAGTTTTGATGGCAAAACAACAGTCTGAAGGTTTGACCCATGAGACTAAACTATCTCAATGGTCATAGCAAACCTGTAGGGATTGACACCAAGAGGCTAAAAAGCTTCAACAGGGTCTGTAGGTTTAACACCATGAGACTAAACGATCTCAACAGAGCCTGATGGTTTGTCACCATGAGCTAAAGAGCTTTAATGCTCATGGCAGACAGATAGGGCCTGATGGCTTTGACACGACACCATGAGCTAAAGAGCCTCGGTGCTGATGGCAGACAAAAAGGGCAAGCAAGTCCAGATAGCATGCGAAACCTCTAAGGAAGTTACAGTTAGGGCACCTGTAACTGCCACATCAACCCAGTCACAGGACTGAAACACATGAAGGAGAGAATAAGAGAAGTTGGTTGTTTCTTTTTACTTAAAAAAAAGGGATGAAGATATTGGTGAGCTGCAGGCAGTGGCAAAGGATAGGACAAGCTGGTTGAGGGTCTTTGCTTCATTGGGAAGAAAAGTCATATCAATAGCTAACCATAATAAAAAGTAAAAGTAGGTAAGGGACCCTTTTCCACGCCTTTAGGCATATAGGGCTAGACCTATATTTTATAGACCAATGGCACAAGATGGGTGATGTGGTCAGCATCACACCGGCCAACTCTACTTCCCGGGACTGCACCCGGTACCCACTCAAGGCTGGGTCGACCTGGGAGCCAAGGCCATTTTTTAAAGAAAGTCCGGCTCCGCCAGGGAGAGAACCCGCGACCTTCCGATCTGCTAACCATAATAGGGTACCATAACGTCTTGTCGGTTTTGCAGTTAGAAGACTGGCATATATTGCTAGTCCTATATTTTTATAGGCTAACTGGCACTCAATTATGATGTGGTCAGTATCATGCCAGTTGCCTTTACTTTCCAAAACATTTCCTGTTTACTATTTAGGGTTGTTTTACCCAAGAAGCCCTGGCTCAGTTAAAAAGTACCACTCAGTGGGATTTGAAACCCAAGTTCTTAGAGCCTGCAGACACCCATCTAGCCACTCCACTAACTTTGCTTGGTCATTTCAAAGATAATATGATGCTCCTGCTGTTGACTGTCACAGATAGCCATTATCATTACCATTGTTTCAGAATTATTAGTTTAATCATTGCTATCCTATAGTGTCTCCTTTTAGCTTCTTTAAATAAATTGCCCAGTGTGAGTGTGCTGTGAAACATGCAGGCGGGTCTTGCTAGCCACGCTCGCCATCCATGGTCTGTGCTTCCCATATCTTTCCCATATAACAATATCATCTGTAAAGAGGGGAAGGTTCCTGTCAATCAAATCAAACCTGAATATTTATATCTATATATATATTGCTTTTTTAACTCTACTTCTTCCTACATAAGAAGTTGAAATAAAAGATGAAATAACAACTCCATGGCAGTGAAAGTCAAAAATTAGTGGACTAGTTATTTTTCTTTTAAGTGAAAAATAACAACTCGGTACTGAAATAGTTAAAAATTATGGACTTTCTTTTCTGTGACTGGCTGTTTACCCCGCTAGGCATCTGTGGTGAGGCATTCTGGGATGGAAGAAGCTAAACCTTCCCCAGGACAACTGAGAGGTTATCATAGATCTCTCATTCTTGATCAGTTAGTTTGTATTTAACTGTACTTTCAGAGAAGATGAGCACCACTTAATAGCCCAGTACTGCTCAAGTTTAAATGGAGACCCCTCATCCCATGCTGTAAGTAAAATATTACGCCAGGTTGCTGTTGGTTTGAGTTGTTCCTTAGTGGAATGGGTTGATTGTAGTTTTTACTACCATTTTACAGTTTTTGTACATCATTGTTTTGTTGATGCATTCATGTTTCACTTATGGCTCACAGTGTATTCAGTCCTGTGCAGTCTTTTTGACATGGATGGAACCAGTTCAGCACCTTTGACCTCTCTCCTCTTTTGTCTTGGTGTTTCTGTTGGGCATCTTTATTTCCTAGGTCCATATGTTTCTCATTTCAGCACCTCTTTAGTGATTTATGTCTCTTTATCATCAGGGTGTGCTTAAATATATCACTGTCTCTTTTCTCTTATAATGTTGATACCAGTGGTTGTCCAGACATTTTAGTTATTTTCTTTGCCTTTTGTTTAATTCAGCCCCAATTCAGTTTCCTTTAGTATTTGTTTTATGTTGCATCTGAGTTTTGTTTCCACTTTTGTAGTGGTTCTCCAGTATTCACTGGCATATATTAAAATTGAAGTAACATTAGAATTAAAAGTACATTACTTAGTTTTATATCAACTGCTAGTGAAATCCAGATTCATGTTTCATTGATACTGTTCTAAAGTACAGTTGATGATGCTCAAATTCACATTTCATTCACAATATTCTTCTAAAGGATAGGTGATAGTTTTCAAATTCACATTTCATTCAGTCTTCTAAAGTGCAGTTCATGAGGCTCGAATTCACATTTCAGTTACAATGTTTTTCTAAAGGATAGCTGATAATTTTCAAATTCACATTTCATTCATGGTGCTCTAAAGTACAGTTGAGGATGTTCACATTTAATTAAAGTTTTCTAAAGTGCAGTTGATGTTCAGATTCACATTTCATTCAGTTATGTTTGTATATGTATGTGTGGGTATCATCAGCTTGGCACACAAACCTGAGACATGGTCAGATTAAAGCCATCTCAGTGGCGTTATTACAAGCATGTGAATGGTATATTAGCAGGTCTGGCAGAATTAAACAAAGCAACCTTTAGAAAGCAAGAAGCATCCGGGGTCATCCAGAATAAGTAACTGCAGGAGATTTAAGTACAAAACCCCACTGCTTGGGGAAAATCTGAATATTAGCTGCTGTACATAATGAACACTCAATGAAACGTGAATCTAAAAATTACCAGCTTTATGTCTTCTTCTTTCTGCTTTTCTTCTCCTGGAATACCTGGCGGCGTCAGGGCAGGAAGAGATCTCTGGAACGGGCCCTTCTGTTCACTTCAGATAAAGTACTTTTCAGTGTCTGATATTTCTGCCGCCCATCTTCTGCCTGATCAACCTCTGGCTTGCTACAACTGTATCTGTATCATATTTGCTCTCTGTGGTGCCAGTTGCGTGTATGAACTTTAAATCAACTATCTGTATCATATTTGCTCTCTGTGGTGCCAGTTGCGTGTATGAACTTTAAATCAACTGTATCTGTATCATATTTGCTCTCTGTGGTGCCAGTTGCGTGTATGATCTTTAAATCAACTGTATCTGTATCATATTTGCTCTCTGTGGTGCCAGTTGCGTGTATGATCTTTAAATCAACTGTATTAAAATGTATGGTTTAAATGAGTCTTTTCTCTTGTTTTCACCCTCTTACATTTACCGAGGATGGCAGACAAAAGGCAAATGCTGTCACCTATCAGTTAGCTCCACTGCTTAAACACCCAAATGTCTCCCTTCCAGCAAAACGGCAAAATGATTAGTAGCATCTTCTCCCTACTTTATTTTATCAGTGCCAAACATGGACAATGAATATGGCACTAGAACCGAAAATAACTAAAATTTGAAATATGCTGTCTCCGCAAGGTCACTACAAGGTTATGAATACCAGCATTAAAGAGAAAGTTGGAAAGAGACCATGTCTAGATTATATTTACAAACAAAGAATGAAATGGTTCAGCCATCTAGGGAGAATGCAGCCAAACCAAACAACATATGAGACTTTTTACAGCAGAACTGGAAGGAAAGCGAGGGGTAGATCAAGAATGAGATGGAAGAATAAGTTTGCTGAAACCTGCAAAAAAATGAACAAATCCATCACCCAAGCCACCCCAGAAGTGCAGGACAAAAACAGAAAACCACAACAGTGGGCCACAACCTGGTATCAGTGAGACGACAAAAGAAGAAGAAAGAAGAAAACTCCCCTTCTTGAACTAAAAATTAAAATATGGTTTCATCCTCCAAAGCCATAAATCTTGCTATTGGCTTAAAGCAGAGTTCCCTCTGCTGACCTGTTTTACTTTGTCACATTTTGTTGTTTGGTTGCATGGGCTGACATATTTCCATTCATCTTAACAGCTGAAGAGTCCAATGCAGATCATGATGGCAGTTGATGCAGAGCAGAGGCAGGAACTTGAGACTATGATACATGACCTGGAGGATGAAAACAGGTAACAAACATGGACAGGCTTATAACAATAAGTGTCAGTTAGGTAATAAAACAAATACAGGTAACAGACTTATGAAGTAAGTACCTTGTGACTGAAATTTTGTCTTTTTAAATTACCCTTTATTCATTGCGTATGAACCTTGGAATTTTTTTAAAAATCTATATCCTTGTTCAAAACAATGTTTCCCTGTTGTAAATTTAAATCATATGGACACGAACAATACATTGCACAATTTATTGCCTGGCATTTCTCACTGTATCTCGACAGGTGCATTACATTATATCCTTGTCCTGTTTATTATATATCTTTATTACTTACATCTGTATTGCACGTAAATCATATTTTATTATGTTATCCACATGTTTAAATATCTTTGTGATCTCACTAATTTTAATTTGCATGCTTTATGTTCTTTGTTTTTTGCCTCTTTGTCGAAATCATTTTTGTGACCAAGCTGTCTGAGCTACATATTTTATTTATATCAGCACTAGTTAGTTCTACTGTGCAGTAGTGGACAAACTAGCATTTTCAAAGTTAATGAATATGGGAAGTGATGATCATGTTTAAGAACAGTAACTTCAGCTAACTGCACAACATATGTTTTCTAACTTGTATAAAGTATTGCTGTTCCTAGCACAGGTGGTTTATACTTTCAATTAAAATAAAGAACTTTTGCATACCTTTGGTATAGACCAATCAGCGCTCTATGGCTGATGCTATCATTGTCATTACACCACCCACATTTACTTCCTAGGACTCTTTCTCTCTCTCTCTGGAACCCATTTAAGGCTCATCGGCCTGGGAGCCAAGAATTTTTTTTTTTTTTTTTTTAAAGTAAAATCAATGTGGATTCAAACCCCAGACTATCAGCCTGACAAGTGAGCATCTAGTTATGCTACCACAGGTCCGAGAATAATAAATGAAAAGCCGTTACATTTGGTATTTATTATTGTCATTTTGTTTTTGTTTTTTTTAACGATTAATTCCCTCCATCCCAAACAGTGTGTGACATGTAATAAGCTATTCTGTGAATCCCACGCCGCGTGTAATATGTTCTGATGATCTTTCTGTCTGAATAATGTAATATCTCTGCTTGCATGAAGAATGTTATATCTCTGCTTGTATAAGTCATCAATTCTAAATCCACTGATAATACATTTTCCAGAACTTTGCAAGCAGAATATGATCGTCTTCGCCAAGTGGCAGAGCAGAGATCAGAGAGCTCGCCACGGATGTTGGGAGGGGATGAGGAGACTAATAACAGTAGTCGAGATGAGGAGATGTTGGCAGAGGCCAAGTTGCTGCGTCATCACAAGGGACGGTTGGAGGCACGAATGAGAGTGTTGGAGGACCACAACCAGCAGTTGGAGGCCCAACTTGGAAGACTGAAGCAGCTTCTGGACCAGGTGAGTTAGCTTATTAGTAACCTGTTGCCAGGGGGGTAACTGATGTAGTTAATTGCATGGGCAATTACAGATCTTTTGTAACTGATCTTTGTGGTTTTTGTTTGCCCAGGAACAGAGCAACTATAGGATGACCTATTTGTTTATGAAGTTGGAACTGCAATTACCTGATAGCTTATTAGTCCCAGCAGTGAAAAATAAATGTTTTGGAGAAGTCAGAGAAAGATGGCGGGTTTTATGTGCTAGTGCTTCCATTGATACACCTTGATGACCCTAACGGGTCAAGGGTTGTGTTATGTTATGTGTAATTATAAAAAGTAAAACATTGGCACATTATTAAAAGAGTAAAAAAACACATGAACAACAATCCCATGCACATAATAATAGCAAATAACTTTAAGAAAAACTGACTGAGAAGACAAAGTTTTCACCATCTATCAAAATTGTACTACACACAAAAACAGTGGCATCTTTTCTAATGATCCTTCAACTTGGGAAATGATTCATACCTACAGCCTAGCTATACTGTTACAATTCCAAACATAGACAGAAAGGCTGAAGAATGTGACCTAGTACTGCATGCAAAGACGCTTGAACATGTCTACAACTGTTATCCAAAACCCAAATGGACACACGTATACACAGATGGATCACTGGAGGGAGCAGACAAAAACGGAGGGACTGGATCTGTCATCATGCTGCAAGATCAGATCACATTAACAAAAATAATGTCCTCCGCATCCAGAAGACTCTCAACAAACTTTGGAGCAGAGCAGCAAGCAATTATTGATTTAGCCAAAGTGCTCCAGGAAAGAAAAATTAAAAACAGCAAAATTGTTTTCCTTTGTGACTTGCAAAAAAATGAAACAAAGGAAAAAACAAAACACCTATTCATTGTCATTACCAAAAATCAGAAAACTTATCAAGGGAACATGCAAGGAATTGTGGAGAGAACAAGCTAACAGTAAACATCCACAAGACTCCTTCAGCAGACTCAACAGAAAGCAACACAACAATTTTCCGTCTACGAACAGGATACTGCAGGCTCAACTACAACATGCATAAAATAAAGATTTTACAGTCCCCACAGCGTCCTGTCAAACAGGTCCACAAACACCTGAGCACATTCTGCAGACCTGGCCTCAAGAGCAAAGTATGCATAGCAAGCTATGAGGAACGGGTGAGTTCATAGAGGCTACCCACTTGATGGTCTGATCTGAGCAAACAAAACTGAACGCAAAGAAGAAGAAGAAGAATAGAAGAGTGACTGGTAGAGAATAACTGAGAAAGCTATACTTGTTAGTGCATAGACAAATATGATGACATGAGCAAACAATTAGTCTAGAAAATAGGGTTGCAATGCATCATCATCATTGACACCAGTTCACAAGGAATTTGGTTATTTCATACCGTCTTCCTAATTAGTCAGTTTCTTGAACTTTTTTTTTTTTTTTCTTGATTGGCGAAAGGGAAAAAAGGGAGGCGGTTGTCTTTGTAATGCATGCAGTTTTTAATTTTAAATTAAATGTATGCGATGAATCCTAAATGGAACATGAAAAGACAACAATAGAAATAATGATATCAGGAGACAAGCTGAGGTGGAATCAGTGTCCAACTACATCAAGATACAATAAGCCGAATGGTTCAGATATGTGTCAGAGCTAACACAAGAAAGTGTACCACAGAGAGCTCTGTCACTTGGACACAACAGAAGAAGACCTAGAGGTTGCCCATACAAGTGATGGACAGGTGGAATATCAGAGGCCATGAATACCAGCCTCTACAAAGCACACACCAAGGCTAGCATCAGATGCCTCATCAGAACCTGACACTAAAAGACAGGGTCTAGAGAAAAGAAGCATACAGTTTATGTGATGGAGTTGAAACATTTTTCAGTAACAAGTTAGAAAGGAATTTGCCCTTTTTTTTTTAATTGATCTAGTTACATTATTGTGTTGTGCTTTTATTTTGGTAATTGATCAGTAATTTTATGGAATCACACAAACCTCTAGTTAAGTTTGAATAACTGTGTCTTCAGCAGTTTTGTTTGTTTTTCCCATCAAGCAGCCTCAAGTTGACCATAGTTACCTTTCCTATGACTCATCTTCAAGGACAACCCCAGTGACAACTCCATCGTCATCCCAGAGTTCTCTCCCCACTGGGCCAGTGAGATACCGGTTAGCCCCACAGATGGAGTCCACACCTCACACCAATGGCCATTCTGGTAAGACTACATAAAAACTACACAGTAAACAAAGAAGACGTACACAGTCAGCTGCCTGGCGTATTTCCTTGTATCATGTCAAGATGTCCTTTTTGTGTGTGTGTGTGTTCTTATGTGGCATGTAGCTCACTCCATGTTTTCCCCATCTTTTTTAACTTCTTACTTCTCTGTGGGTTCCAGTGTAAGGACATTCTAGTATTCTCACGTTTCAGATGAAAAATAAAAGTTTGTTTATGAACTGTAGTGAGAAAATGAGTCATAAAGTGCAATAAAAAATTTGAAATATGGTATCTGAAGATAGTGCAAAAATTACCTTGGATGAACAGAAGAATAAATGAATAAATCTTTCAAAACCCATGGAAATGGTTTTACAGAAACAAATTTAATTTATTCAAGATTTGTGGGCACCTTATGGAGAAAAATAGATTGAACACTTGGTGACAAATGAAAAACAAATTGATGGAAAAGATGCACAGAGAATGGAAAGTTATAAATGCCTCGTAGGCTTGGCCACATGGTATAACAAAACAAGAATGCACATCTGATTTGAGACTGGTGAATATCTGGGACTCATAGACATGGCACATGATGATGCTAAGCCACTGTGAGCTGTGGATTCCATGTGGAATGTTTTTTTTTATTAATTTTTTTGTGTGGGCTCCCGCAGCATGTTGTTGACTATATTAACATGGCGGATGAACAGCTATGTTCTGAGTAAGGTCTTCTTTTATGGACGCAATGCCGGCTTTCGTGGTTGACCATTTGTGCAAACAGTAAACTGTAGTTCTTTCCTCTTCTTCGTGTTCACCAGCTGTAAACTCTGGCAGAAAGTTCTAGTTGTTCATCCAATTCTGGACTGCAGTCCTGTTCCAGAACCTGAGTGTTGCGTGTGCATCTGTTTGACAGATCTGACTAATTTGTATGCAGACTGTTGGTTCCTTGCCTCTCAGGCAGATGCACTCAGACTTCGAAAGAAGCTCCTAATTAGTCACTCTTAGGACATGCTTTTGGGTAGGCATTGGGTCTATTCTTGTTTTCCCTATAATAGGGCCTCGGAACCCACATAGGGAATTGCAATTCTGATGCGGGGCCATTAATGTTGGCACATCTGTCTTACTTTGCATGTGCAACTGTCAAGATTTTGCTGGGACTGACAAGTTTTTCACTAATTTGTAAATGGGACAGTCAGTAGTGACATTTATGTTATTCCCACTGGCACGAGAACAAAGCAGTTATGGGGTGAGTCGTCTGCAATGATGTTGGAACCCTCACTAATGACTCACTATGCTGAGCCAAGACCTCCAAGTCTTAAACTGTCACAGAAGCCAGGATAAGCTTTTATTTTTATTTTATTTTTTTAATTTCTGTAATGTTAATTAGTTGTCTGTAGTTCTTAAACTGGATTTCTAGCCAAAATGGAGGAAAGGCTCGGCAGAATGTTTAGCTTCAAAGTTATTTATGCTTCCAACAGCGCTTTGCTAATGCAGTTTCTACATACGGATGGTAGTCTATGGTTTCGCTGTCTGGGCTACTGAGTTTAGTGCTTGGTTGCAGCCCTTTGAGCTGTGGTTTTCCTGTGGAATGCTTTTCATTTGTGCAGCGGCTGTGTTGTGGTATTCAAAATGGTTGGTTTACATGTGGGCTGGTGAAATACCTTATGTAAAAATTCTACGTAGGTATAGTAACCAACTTATCATGCCAGACTACTTCCATCAAGACTACTTGTCCATGACAAACCATATTTCTGGTGTCGATTGTTGGCTTTGGCACCTCCAGCAACTGAAATACGCATTTACTGTGTACATATTTCTGAATTGTTTCGGGACTAGTTGTTTGTTCACCAGTTCTTCAGTCGCAGCAAGGAGGGGCATTTCATTAGATTTGCACAGGAATGGAGCAAGTATGGGGAAACCCAACTGCAGTGATGTTGAAACCCCGAATAAGTTCTTAAACTGAAGTGTGGCTCTGTCTCTTAGAGATGTGTGATTGTGCTTAACAGTTTTATGATCCTTATTCGCTAGGGTTTAATTTTCATAGATAGATAATTTATTTATCTGAAACCAGCTCTCGTGTTTTCAGACAGTAATATGAGAGGCATACCCTAGAAGAGTTTGAGACCTCACCGCGTAATGTTTATAAAGACAGCACTGGGCACACTGTAGCTAGCCTTCATTGTAAAGACAGCACAGAATTATCTTGATTGTTAAAAATAAGATTCGACATCATAGCACTTGGGACACTCCCATAAGCGCTCCATCCCTAACTTCAGCAGCAAGCGAAGAATTCCAATTCCAGTGGTACCAGTAACTGCCTGATTGTAGCACATAATTAATTAAAATTCTTAATAATCATTCCTTTAACTTGCTTACTGCCCACTCTTTTACTTGCATCCTACTTCTGACAACTTTTTCTCAAGTACTGCTAACTGTTGCATATAAATGATACTAATTTATTGCAGGATTCAGTGACGATCTGGACCTGAGTGGATTTGTCACAGAAATCAATAGTCCCCCTCACTATAGCGCTATAAAAGCTAGAGGTAGGTCAAAGGTGACTCAGTAATTTATGTATCACATAGTCCTTACCCTCATACGACTGCAGGTTACACTTGGCTAGTCTAACCATTATGGATGCCCTAATTATAACTTTTATGGAGGTTGTACGGAATATCTGGGGTCTGCTGTCCAGATTGCGATTTTTAAATCTCAGGATGGTCTGGTAAACATTTAGGTAGCAACCCAGAGGGGACAAACCAATTGAATGATCGCTAATAGTGCCCCTTTGTGTGGGGAGGGGGGGGGGCATTGTACAGAGGAGGGAGTCTTGAATTTGAGAGGACTGTGTTCCATGCATTCACTGTAGTTTGTTCTGGTTCAGATATTTATTTTCTCCAAGTGTGGGTTCTGAGGTCCCATTCTGGGGAAAAAAATAGCGAGTAGGTTGTAAAATTAGGGGCGGTTTTTCTTTTTTAGGTTGGAGTGCCTCTGTCTGAGTGGCAAGGAACCAATGGTTCGCATACAGATAAGCCAGATCTGCATAAATAGATGTGCACACAAGATTCAAGTTCTGGAACAAGACCAAAACCTAGAAGTGGATGAACGCCCAGATCTACTGAAGTTTACAGCTGATGTTTAATTTTGTCCCTGACAAAAAAAATTTTTGGTTTTGTTTATTTATACTACAGTTTTCACTGATTGGATAGCACAAGTTCAAAAATCATAAAAACTAAATAAATTAAATTATTACAACTTAATGTTACTATTTTAATGATCCAGTTAACACTTAATTATAGGTTAAACGAGGTATGGGAGATTGACCCTGTTGAATTGCAATTAGAAGGCTACTCTTTGAGTTGCAAGGATTGTCATACAATCATTTGGCACTGTGGAAAAGGAGGGAGGGGAGGGGTGTATAGACGGCTTACTTAAAAGCTGAATGTAGTCTATTCTTCTGTAGGGTCCTAGAACAATAAATAATAAAATGGTGAGAAAAAAAAGAACTGCAGACAATGGACATATGCTTTGTGTGTGTGTGTGTGTTTTTTGTTAAGAGTATTTACTGATATGGACAAAGAAGAATTAAGAATCAATGTTTCAGCGATAGGGGCATTGCCGTACATTTCTATAATGTTGATGTATCCTCAAAAAGTGTCCTTCTTGCCTGTAATTATAGTCTTTATTGCCTCTAATCACAATAATTGTTTGCACAATTATTTTGTACCAGGGGTTAAAATAAATGTGTATTCCTTCACTTTGGCATCTGCTGATGGAAACAGCATTTATGGGTGGACCCAAGTGGAAAAGATAGAACTGAATGAATGCTTAAAGAGGGAAATAACATATACTTGGATGTGCTTAAAATACCCTGAAGATGAGTCAAGTAAATCAGACAATAAATGCAGCAGAATTGTCATGTGCACAATCAAACACACACACACACACAATACTCTTCATCTCATAGTGCATTTTTTAGGAAAAGACACCAAACCAAACTAAAAATAGAACCAAGTCAGCTTCACATTATCACAAACACAAACGATAAGTGAATGTTGCTGCAAGAGAGCCTTCATCAGCATATTACATGAATACGGCAAAATTTCAAGTGCCACAAGTACGAACATGAATACGCAAAATCACTCAACTAAAGTATCACCTAGGAAAATCACATAACTTTTGTCAATTGAATTTCTGACGTGTGTAACCACTAGAAATAAACACTAGCAGCCGTAAACTGCCAGGGTCGTAACTCAAAAATATTAGATAAAACAGTATACTAATCATGGAACTCACCCCATCTCGCTTTCGAGTGATATCTCAAGGCCGTTCCTATTGGCTGTCTTATCTTCTAGGGGGTTATAAGATGGCTCTCTAAACTGTCTATACACAGCATGGTGAAAAGTGACTGGCATTTGTTCCACGAGGTCGATACAGTGTTTCCCAGGCACAAGTGTGCAGTTCTATTTTCGCTACTGTCTTTTGTGTGAAAGAATGTTGTTTCTGGAATGTGCTGTTGTGAGTAGCTCAGATGTATACAAGAAAGAAGTTGTGCAAGTAGAAGCGCCGATGGCATGACAGTTTGTGAGTATCGAATCCTTGATGTTTTTGTATTTTTTCCGCTCGGTTTTGGCTGTCATCAGTGGTGGATGTGCTTAAAACCTTCAAAGCAAGCAACACCTGACACCTCTAGAGAACAGCCACAAGATCTCACGCACGAGAGATGTGGGGGGTGAATTATGTGATCAGTACCCATAAAACTGTGTTGTGTGTTAATTCCCCTAGGCGAATCTTTACACACATCTTGTAGTCCATGATGTGATCACAAACTGTCCAACATCCTGTCTTCCCCACCTCCTTTACCCTCCAACTTTTTTTTATCATGACATACTTCAGTTTTCTCCTTCTTAAAACATGCCGAAAGAATGCAATTATCATTTTCTGATGCAGTTAATTGGTATACTCTATGAGTTAATTTCTATCAAGATATTTTTTTTCAAGCTGACTGTGTCATTATCATTTATTTTTTATAAAATTATATCTCTGTAGTTTCACGACTGTATACACATATCAATTAAATAGGCTACACACATTTACGTATATTTATTTTCTATTTCTATCTGGCATGTATCATTTTTAGGTGCCAGCAACATTGGTGACCTCTTTCATTCAGCGGGAGAAGTAGGCCAAGCAGTCGGCTCTTTAGTCACTGTCATGACTGATGAAGATGCAATGACACCAAACAGCATTGACGGCACCGCCATTAAGCATACAGAAAGACTCTGATTCTGCTAACACTGGCAACAGAGCTTTCTAGAATTTTATGTTTTTTTTTTAATCAATTCCATAATGTAATTATGCTGTGTATATCTGGAGAGGAAAAGAAGTAATGTTGAATGCGTCACATTTTGTGTTTTGCATAGACTTGAAATAGTTACTTTATGGTTGTGCTGCATGCCGCTACTGTTTCCGTCTTGCCATTTAGGCACGAAAGTTCACAATCTAAAGTGAGTGAGCAAGCAGTTAAAAAACCTATTATGTTGCTTGTTTTTGTCTTTAAAGCTAACATGTTTTGGACTTATCTGTTATTTGTATACAGTTTATTTAGATTTGTGTGCATCAACCCAGTGCTTCCTTGGCATCATTTGCTGCTGAAACAGTTTCTGTTTGTTTCAGAGGCAAATCCAGCATTTGTTCCTGATCAGTTTGCAGTAGACTTATATAAATACATATGTAATAGTGTGTGCATAAGACATAACAGTTATTTCAGATATACTAGTTGTGTTTCAAACATTATGTTTCTGATATAACATTTGGTACTTTCTTATTAGCCGACCTCAAACATGGATTCAGATATATCAGGGTGTGGTAGATTAAGCATATCGTTTTGGTTGGGGTTAGAGTTAGGTAAACATGCAAAAACCTTGGCCTTGGAAGAAATGCGCTAAAGCACAGAAAACACAGAAAAACTGCTCTTACCACCCTCTAAATATTGGTATGTCCTGTGACATCATTTGTGGTCGGCTAAAATGAAAGCACCTAACATTTAACTAATATCAAGTGGCCAATGAGTATTTAAATATATAATATTAGATTGAATCACCAGCATTATGTTGTATATTTCCTTTAGAACTTATAATTTATTGTCAGAACCACCATGTTTCGACATATTTCATTATTCCTTGCATACTCCACGACAGTATGCAGTAATTCATTCAGAGATAACCAGAAAACAAGATCGGACACAAATCACTGCTTCTATTGCTTGTTGCTAAAATGCTTGCATGTTTTTATTGTTTTTAGGTACAATTAATCTAAGACAATACTTTTGATATTGTAGTTGTCTGCATTTTTCTTGAATGATAATTTTCATGTATGTGGTCTTGTCAATTAAATGTCACAAATTTTCAAGTGCCTGATGGTGTTTAGTAAAAAAAAAATTATAAGTAAACTTTTGTTTATTTTTTTATGTTAGTGTTGAAGATTATTTCATACTTTATTCAAATATTTACTTGTTAATTTCTACTATATATAACTCAGTATTTCAGAACAGTGAAATGTTTAATTGTTGATGTTTTTTCTTTGACCCTGTCTGTTTTTCTTTGCACCTAGTATAAATGCCCTGTGTTTACATTATATGAAGATAATTCTTGTGTTTTCCTTGTCATTCAGACATAAACATTTGATAAATCTCAAGTTGGATACCATGAAAAGTAATTGTTGTCATGCAATACCCGTTTTAATTGAAATGAGTGTCCCTTTCTGTTACTCTTCCAGCCATCTCCTAGAGTTACCTGTCCATTGTGTGCATTATAAGGCAGCACAGGCTATACTGATCAGTAATGAAACTCTGTATGGTTACTTCAGTATGACTTATCATGTCCTCGTCACTGTATTCACAGCAGTTATAATAACCATCAGACTCATTCAACTAAAGCTGCCTTTATTATTATTGCCACGATATAGTTATAAATATTGTGTTCGTGAACCCTTGTGTTTTTTTTTTTTCATTGTCATTTTATGAAGGCTGTGGTCAAATGTGGCATAGTGCCTAGATACTCGCCTGCAAGCCTGAGGGTCATGGGTTCAAATAAGCATTGAGTCTGATGCTTTCAAAAAAATATCCTGGCTGTCAAGTCAATATTGTCTAAAATAAGTGCCAGGTCAAGTCCTGGGAAGTAAAGGCAGCCAGAATGATGTTGAACACATCACCCACCGAGTGCCGTTTGGTCTTTAAAATGTCATTCTAGCACTATATAACCAATACCTGGGCTGCAGTGGTGTAGTGGCCACTTGCCTGCTGATCAGAATGTTGTGGGTTCAGGTCCTGACTGAGTCAGATTTTTTTTTGGCTCCCATGTGGACCCAGCCTTAAATGGTTACTAGGTATAGTCCGGGGAAGTATAGGCGGCCAGCGAGATGACCACATCACCCACTGAGTGCCAGTTGGTCTTTAAAATATAGGTCTAGCCCTATATTCATGTAGGTGAGGAAAAAGGTCCTTTACCTTACTCAGATACCCAGTACACCTAGGGATATAAGAAGGGTCCTTGATTAACTGTTTTCCTTCCACCAGGTTAAATACCAAATGGCTCAGATTCTTTACACAGAATGACGAGAGCGTTATACAAAGACTAAACTCTATAGCTCTGCCATTGTCCTCGATAGTTCTTCCTCTTCACCATCACCGGCTGTAAACTTTGGTGGAATATTTGGCCTGTTTGTCCACATATGGACTTGGTCTTATTCCAAAATTTGAGTATTGTGTGCATATCTGTTTTTACAGATATGGCTTGCTCATATGCAGACTTTTGATTCCTTGCTTCTCAGGCACAGGCTCTCCAGCTGCGAAGAAAGTCCCTAAATGTTGCAGTGAAAAACTATCCATTGTATTCAGTATTTTAAAATTGTGTCTTAATGTGAAACTAACCAGATATTAGAAGAATATCGAAAAAAAATTGGTTCCTCCATCATAAAACTGCAGTTGAATGTTTGTGAGTCTGGAGGTGACATATAAGACCAAAATGTGCCCGGAAGAGTCTAGGACAATTAGGGCAGGACACAGTGTCTGTAGACAAAGGGCCTGTTTGACAGTTCTTTGTGACCTGTCCTTGCTGTTCAGCTGTCCTTGTTCTAGATGCCTCACAGATTGTTGCACCTTCTCTGATATATGTGCGCCATAAAGTCCGGTTTTGTGCTGCAGCCTCCCAAGAGTCAGGGTTTGTATTGGAGGCTTTCAATGATGCCTTAGTGTGTCCTTGAAGAGCTTTTATAAAAAAAAGTTTACTGAAAGCAAAAAAAAAACTGAGAACTGCTGGAACCAGACAGAAGGTTCTAGGTTTGCAGTCCAACACATCTTCATAGTCACATATTTTTATTTGCTAGCTATAACTTTGTATTTCCTTTGACTGAGTTGTAACATGAAAAGCCTTTATATTTTTCTCCATGAGATTAAGTCACCAGATGCTTTTTCTCCTTTTTCTTCCTGATATGATAATTTTGCTAATAACCAACTGCCAGACTTTGGTCAATTGTATCTGTTTTATAGTATTCATAATAAATGATATTCATGTCAGAAAGTAAGCATGTAATTGAGATATGAGGTCAAAATAAACTACAAATTATCGAACACAGTTACTTGTAGTAACTTATTTTTGTTGTGAATGTTTGTTTGTATTTCATCAGTATTTCTGAATTCATGATCTCTTGAGATGGGTGTGGGTTTTTACCTTCGCCTTTACCTCGTCTGTTGTCTCATCCAGTTTTCCGCTGGGGGTGGGGGGGTAGAGCAACCCAACCTTCCACTGGATTGCTGGGAAGAAGAGGGTCCGTGACGCGAAGGTGGGGTAGGCTTGAGAAAGAGAGGCTAATTGACATTACAAGTCTTGAAGTGCGCATTATTGCTCCATTAGGACCCCAATTGTTATTTTGCTGCTGCTGGCATCGTTCCGTATTTCCAGACAAGGGTGTTATATTGTGCTATGAGGAGGCATGGGACTTATATCCCACGATGGTGAGTGTGACTAGCAAGACCCGCCTACGTTGAGAAAAGTCTTCCACTGTTATAGCATTAGGTTTTAGGACTATTCAGTATGTTTCTTCTCATACATTTGGCTATTATCTTTTCTGCAATCATTTCTTCCTTTATTCTCATTCCCTTCCTTAGTGTGCTTCCTCCAAGCGACATGATCCATGACATTTTGTTCCCAGGAGTCCACCTTTCTACCTGTATAAGTTATATTCCCTTTGCATACATTTCCATATCGCAGTAGTAGTTGCCTCGACATCTTCTTCCCATCCGTAATTCACTTTAGAGGATGTCCTTAGGGAGTCTACCATTCTCCATATGTGACCCAGCCACCTGAACCTTCGTAGACTGAGCATTGAGAAAACTATGGTGTAATAAATGGGGTTTGTAATCTCTCGTTGTCTATATGGTGTTCATGTGTGTGTCGTGAATGTTCTTATCATACACAACGTTAATGCAACTGGTACAAGCCGACACCAACTTACGAGCATCGATTTATTGACATGTTATAACTTACAGCAATGTCCAGTCGTTGTCCTAATACACAGCTCTCGCATACGAAATCACGCAGCCTGCAACATGCAGGTTCTTCATGTATTCACTGACCAGAGTCGGCTCCAATAAATCAGGTTGAGCTTCTTGCCATTACACAGACGGGCCTGGTTGATCTTGACTTCACATTTTGTCGTCAGGGTCTCCTTTCGCAACAAGCAATCTTACGTTGACATTCTTACACTCAGTCGCACATCCTCTCGCTTTAACATGTGGACACAAACTAAACTTGATCAGAATCAAGTCTGACTTATACCACGGGTTAGTTTCACGAGGCAACACGTGGTGGTCCTTTACTTTCACGTGGTGACCTTTGGTCGCGTTGTCGTGATACCCGTGATAACTAGTGGTCATCACCTATCTCAAGATCCTCGTTTAATCCGAGTATCTGGAACATCTCGGTGTTTTAGGTTAGCTTTGGGCCTTCCCCCCAACCTTCCTAATCTGGGTGAAAATATCCCCCATTACATATGGTAATACCTGCTCTTCTCAAATACCTCAGTGTTAGTGGTCTTGTCTCGACACTTAATACCAAGTATTCTTCTTGAACAGAGTGACTAAAATTAGCTATACTTACTAAAGTTGGAGCCAAATAGTATTTTAGTTAGACTAGTGTGTTTCCCACTGTGGGTGCTGCAATTTTTTTCTTCCTTCATTCTAATTCCCTTCAGGATTTGCCTGCTCCAGGCAACAACATGGTCCATGG